TGACGTTTGTGTGAAAAGCCATCTCAGGACTCTCTTTAGTTTTAAAAACTTAATATTCAACTTATAAAAACTAAAACATGTTGTTTTATCCATCTGGTTATTAAGATCCTCTGCTAAGGTAATTATTTGAGGAGCGTTTGTATGGAACACAGTTATCTTCACTTTGATTTTTTTGGACTGCTTGAAATAGAAACCAGGACCTCCTCATTCAAGGCAAGTGCCCTACCACCAAGCTACATCCCCAGGCTTTTTTTTTTTTTTAAGCACATGCTGTATATTATATTTACAGAGAAATAGTACAGATATTGTTTGGTACTTTGCTCTCTTCTCATTATTTAAACATTTGGGTAGGCACACTGTACCGCATGATGTAGATGTACCAAAGCAGATTTCTTCTCCTTCCGGTGCCAGGGATCAAACACACAGCCTCATGCTGCCAGGCAGGCATTCTACCACCCCACTACCCAGCTTGGTTATCTTCATTCACTTTTGTATACCTGTTTGGAGAGCTTTGTCCATGTCTCTTTTCCTCATACTTTTTTTTTTTTTCCTCAAATAGGGTCTCATTGTGTAGTTTGTGCTGGCCTTGAACTCCCTAATGTATGTAGCTCAGACTAACCTCAAGCTAATGGCAGTCCTGCCTCAGCCTGCTGAGTGCTGAGGCCACAGGTGTGTGCCATGCCTGGCTCTCAAATCTCTTGTCTCCAGCTTTACTGAGATAGTCTTTCAAAGTCTCTGATGATCCAGTCAAACTGTTAGTCATTTTGAATCAATGTGAATCCACACTTAACGGTGATCGTTCCTTCTGGGCAAAATGAACAACTACTATATTGCTCAGAGTTCTGCTCATTGGGAGGATTTTCTTTCATCACAGTCCTCATGTTCAGCTTTGACTGTGGTTAAAATGCCACAGCTGTTTACTGTCATTTGCTGCCACATGATTTATGTAAAACAGTCTACAGATTGAGCCTAAATTTCTTAGCTGGTCCTGAGGAATTCTTCAGGAGGCAGGAAGGAATTTAGTATGATTAGGGACCATAGGTGATGAAGTATTGAGTGTAAACAACACAACAGTTAATGTCTTATTTGTACTGGATTTTTTTTTTAAGAGTTTAGTGGGGTGGGTTTGTTTGCTTTGGTACTGTGAATTGAACTCAGGGCCTCGTGCTTGCCAGGCAGGCACTATGCCACCTAACTACATCTCTGGACTGTTTTTTAGTTTTTGAGACAGGGTCTCACTATGTAGTTCAGATTGGCCTTAAACTCACTAACTACCCTAGCCTGGCCTTGAATTTGCAGTGATCCTCCTGCCTCAGCCTCCTAAGTGCTGGGATTATATGCATTTACCACCACGTGGGCCTGTACTGGAAATTGAACCCAGAGCCTTTGCACTAAGCTATATCCCCAGACCTTTTTAATTTTTTATTTTGAAACAAGGTCTTGATAAATGACTAAAATTTCCCAGATTGGTTCCCTACTCGGCGATCTTCCTGCCTCAGACTTCCACATTGTTGGGCTTACAAGGCAGACAGCTGCCACAGCCAGTTCTTTTTAATTTACCACAAACCTTTCTTTTCTTCTTTTCTTCTCTTTTCTTTATGAGACAGGATCTTGCTATGTAGTCCAGCCTAGCCTTGAACTCTTGGGGATCCTCCTGTGTCAGTCTCCCAAGTGCTGGGATTACAGGCCCAGTTTAACATAAGCCTTTAAAGTTTTGAGAATTCTCTCTATGTACTGCTTTGGGCATATTCCACAAATTTTACTGTTGTATTTTATTTTTATTCAATTCAGAATAGTTTCTAATTCTGATTACTTCTTTTGCCATTGGTTATCCAGCAGTGTGTCATTTGATTTTTCAGATTTTTGGAGTATTTTTCAGATGTCTTTCAGTTACTAATTTCTGTTTTCATTCCTATATACTGTAAGAGTATAATTTACAATGTGTTACTGATGTCTGTTTTGTGGTGCTGATAGTTTACCGTGGTACCTGTTTTGTATCAACTTAAAAGGACTCCAAGTATATCTGTTGGTGAATGTGTCTGCTGTAAATATCTCAACTCAAGTTTGCTGGAAATGTTCAAATCTTTAATTTCCTTGTTGATTTTCTGTCCTGTTGCTATATTAATTATTGAGAGTTTCTGACTATATCTATGATTTTGTCTCTTTTTCCTTGCAATTTTATCACTACTTCATATATTTAGAAGCTAAATTTTGCACATTTGGCATTGTGACATCCTAGTGATCAGCTTACTTCTTTATCAATGTTAAGTGATGCTCATTGGTGTCTATATGTTTGCTGAAAACAAAAATGTTACACTTAAGCCCAGTCCTATCCACAGACAAAATATAAGTGACCTGAAGACCACACTGAAAAGATAGTACAGTAAAAGTATATTGTTCAATTGGATAAAAAACCCCAATTGTATTTCCTGCAAAAAAAAAAAAAAGTACTTTAAATATTAAGATACGCATCTAAGAGTGGTGCTGCATTCCTGTTATTCCAGCACTTAGGAGGCTGAGGCAGGAGGATTGCTGCCAGTTAAAGGACAATCTAGGCTACATAATGTGTTCAAAGCCAGCCTGAACTGCATAGCAAGACCCTGTCTTAGAAAAACAAAAATAAATAAATATTAAGACAAAATACTGTAAAAATAAAAAGACAGAAAAACATGCTAAAACTAGTAAGAAGGGGCTGGGCATTTAGCTCAGTGGTTCTTCCACCTGCCTTGTAAGAGCAAGGACTCGAGTTCGATCCCCAGTACCAAACTAGTAAGAAGAAAACTAGAGGAAAAAGTCAAAGTGGTATAATTCACACAGAAGAGATACTTTTATGCAGATAATATTAGGGACAGTATGTGACATAATAGTTTATTTAATGATTGTAATAAATGTATATGCAGAACTTAACTTCCAGATTGGAGTTTAGTAGATTATAGTACTAAAAATTATCAGCTTTTATTTTGCTGGATTTTCTGTTTTCTGTTTTTCTTAGTTTCTTGATACCTGTTTTTGTTTTTTTGGAATGTTGGCAGGAAAGAGGGAGAAAAAAAGGAAAACAAGTAGAACCATCTAGACTTGGCTCTGATAATTTGTTTTAGCAGATAGTGTGCTTCTGTCTAGGCTTCAGCTCATAGACTGACAGCACACTGCGCAAGTAGGCAGCATTTAAGAAACAATCAGTTACTCATCCGAGGGCTTTCAACTCCTGTCTGCTATACAAATGAAGCGGATGACCTTGATGATTAGATAAATTCCACCTTATAATAGGATGTGTCTGAGCATAAGGACAAGGGCGAATACAAGGGCGACAACGGTGACCTTGCAGAGGCATAGGAAATCATAAATTCTAAGTTACTTGTTTTTCTTTTAAAGAGCAGTTATCAGCTTGCGTAGATAGCTCAATGATAGAGTACTGCCTAGTGTGAGGAGGGCCTTGGGTTCCATACACTGCAGAGAGAAAGAAACAGACAGACAAGACAAGACAGACAATCAAGGCAGGCATCATGGTGTATTCCTATGGTCCCAGCTACTCCAGGTGCTGAGGCAGAAGGAGCTTGAGCCCAGGAGTTCATGGGCAGTCTGGGCAGCATGGCTAGACCGTGTCCGAAAGCAAAGTGCCATAACGTATCTTAACGATGTTAGGTAACTGTCCTCTGACAGTTCTACAGCCCACTCCTCTTACTTTCTGTTGCTGAGACGCAATATCTAACACCGACAACTCTAAGGAAAGCTTTTATTTTGACTAATAGTTTGTAAAAGTTTGAGTCCATAGTTGGCTGTCTCCAAAGAAGGGCATCATGGCAGAGAAACAGCTCATCTTCAGTGGAAGCAGAGAGAGAGTATGTGGAGGAAGGGAGATGGCCCTTCCTGGCCATGCCCCCAGTGACCTACCTCCTCCAACCAGGCTCTGCCTCTTAACCTCACAGTTAGCTATAAACTTCTCTGCAGACTAAGCTACTGATGACTATCACATCCCCATGATCCAGTCGCCTCCCAAAAGCCCCACCTATTGAGCATGCGGCTCAGCCATAACATTCTCTGAAAATGGAAAGTTTTCCTGAACAAGACAGATTTGAATAGACTGGTATGTTGACTATTTTCAGTTTTTATTTCACTGTGGATTTTTATTTTTTGCTACAGAATTATTTTTCTCCCAGTACTGGGGATCGAACCCAGGACTTCACACATGCTAGGCAGGTTCTCTACCACTGAGCTAGACCCCCAGACCTTTTTAAATTTTCTTTTAAGATAGGCTCTTGGTTGCCCAGACTGGTCTCTAACTTGTGATCTACCTCAGCCACCCTAGTAGCTGGCATTATAAGTGTGCACCACCATACCCTGCTTGTGGCAGAAATCTTAAATGTGGTTGAATTATGAGTTTTATGTGTGCATGGTATGTATAGGTATTGGCTTTTCAAAATTGGGCCAATTCTGAATTCTAAAATACATCTGCCCTGCTGAATGACTGAATTAGAGATCATGGAACTATACTTTGTAGTTTCTTTGAAATTCTACAACTCTTCCCTTAGAGGCTATAGACTGGGGCCAAAGTCTGTTGTCCTAACCAGTGCTGTTGATATTTTTAGCATAAAAAGTTTGTTTGTTTGTTTGTTTGAGACAGGGTCTTGCTATGTAGGTCAGACTGCCCTGGAACTCACTATGAAGCCCAGGCTTGTTTTGAACACCAAGCGACCCTCCTGCTTCAGCCTCCCAAGTTCTGGGATTACAGGCGTGCACCACCACGCCTGGCTCTAACATGAAAAGTTTGGAAAATGGAGTCAAAGCCGAATTCCTGACCATTTGTCCTCTGCTTGGCCATGTTTGCTTCTTACCAGCTCATTTCCCTATTTTGTCAATTCCTGTCCAACTTCCTCAATTCAGTCATCTGAATAAAAAAAGATTTCCCTTTTGAAAAGTCACCATCTGGTGGTCATTTTGGTGGCTGTTTGCTCCTCTGGGGCAGGGCAGTAGCTCAGGTGTGGGAACAGAGTGCATTTCTTAGGCCAAGCCCTGAGTTGAGGCATGGAAGCTGTTAAACTCTAAGCTGAGCAGGTCTGAAAGGTGCTCTGCATTGAGATTCCTTCAGCTCTGGGTGCCAGCCATGGCACAGAACAGCACTGTGAACAACAGCATCAACTTGCCCTACCAAGACCTGGCTTCCGAGGTGATCAGGCACAGGGTCACCATGGCCACCGGAGAAGAGATAATTCCAGAGAAAAATTATAGTGCTAAGAAGATGGTCTTCTGTTCAGACATGGAGACAGAGCCTTCTCCCAACAAGACCTACTTCACCGAACCTCCTGCCCCGCTGCCTTTGCCCGCCAAGGAGTCCACTGTCTCCCATGTAGGCACAACTTAAATTACTTGGAGATGGACTCTTCACGTGAGACTCCAGCAAGCAGTTTCAGTGACGTTCTTGGCCATGTCTTTGAAGACTGTCTTGGAAATCTTTGTTCTTTAGGCTTTTTCTTCTAGAACCACTGTTGGGTGTTGTACATCTCCCCCAGTGCACCTGGAGGGATTTGGGGTTTTCAAGCTGAGTCTCTGTGGATGGATTTGATCTGTAGAACACTTGCAGCGGTCAATTACCTTTGAATTTAAAGTTATCAGGCACTGTTTATTACTAAATCTGAATCTGTGAAAAGCACAGGTCTCTGTGACTTAACTCTAAAGATCTGAGGTCCAGAGAACCCTAACATGTTTGAATTTTCAAAACCCAGCCAGGGACACCACTGTTTTATGGCTCTTTCATTTTAATTTAGCTGAGCTGTATCCCCATCCCTTGTACCGGGGCCAGAGGGGCTGAGTTTCAGACTTAATTGACTTTTTCAAAGCTTACTTATAGGTGGTGGAGGAAAATTTCTAACTCTATACAGAAAACTCTGCCCTCAACAGCAGTTAGTACAGAATGATTTAGTGTGGGAAGCAGTGTATTTCCTGGGTCCCTTGTTCAAGCCTCTTAGCAAACCTCAAAGCCACTCTAAAGGTTTTCAAGGCTCCTTGGAGTGATTTGGAGGCATAGAAATGTGATAATTGGGATGTACATAAAAATATAACTTGAGCTGGGATTTAGCGCAGTGGTGCCACTGCTTGTCTCAAAAGCACAAGGTCCTGAGTTCAATCCCCAGTACCAAAAAAAATCTCTTCTCTCTCTCTCTCTCTCTCTCTCTCTCTCTCTCTCTCGCGCGCCATCTTTTATGTCATGTTTCTTCATGGGGTCATGTTAGTGTGCTCTCTCCATACCTGCCTTTACAAAAGTGCTTAGCCCTCTTCCTCCATAGCCAGTAGCTGTGCCACTGGTGTGGTTCCTTTCCTGTGGGTTTCTGCAGCAGTGTGAGGGAGGCAGGGGCCATGCCCTGAGTACCTGTCATTGCCAGCAGGGTGCTTAACATGCATGCCCCCTCCTCCTCCTTAGTCACATGAGGAAACAGACCTGTACTGCCCAGTATGACAGCCACATGCCAGGTGTGGCTTCTCAAATTGAAATTCATTTAAGTTGAATAAGATAAAAATTCAGCTTGCAGTTACAGTATAGTACCTACTGTGTGAGGCGGACATTCTTCTGGGTATACATCGTTGTACAGAGCAATCAATCCCTGTCCCAGTGGAGTTTACCTTCCAGTGGGGGAGACTAACAAAAATACATGAGAGACCAAGTGCGGTGCTGCATGCCTATAATCCCAGCACTTGGGAGGCTGAGGCAGGAGGATCGCTGTGAGTTTGAGACCAGCCTGGACTGCATAGTGAGTTCCAGATCAGTCTCAATTCAACTACATAGTGGGACCCTGTCTCAAAAAAACCAAAAAGTGTGTGTGTGTATGTGTTTGTGTGTAGAAAGGAAAAGGAAAATAACAAGACAGAGTAGGTCCGATGAGAAGTCCTGCAGGAACCAGCAGATTAGTTGCAATTTTAAGCAAAGTGGCCTGGATAGATCTCTTAAGGAAGGTGAAAGCTTGAACCCAGTGATGACCTTAGGTGTGGGGACACCTGAGGCAGAGGGATGAGCAGGTGCTGAAGCCTGAAGGCCAGGTGTCCCTGCTGTGTTCCAGGGACATCAGGGAGGTGAGTTGGGCTTGGCTGGAGCAGAGTGAATTGGGACATTAGCAGAGGAGGAAGTCACAGCAGTCACAGATCCTATGGAGCTTTGTAAGGACTCTGACTTTGAATTAGAGGAGAAGCCATGAGGGGTTTTCAGAAAGAGCCATAATCTGGCTTGCATTTGACTTGTGTTTTTGTTTTGTTTTTTGGTATAAAGGATAGAACTCAGGACCTTGTGCTTGCCAGGCAGGGCAGGCACAGTGCCACTTGAGCTACATCCCTAGCCCTTCTGGCTTGAATTTGAACAGATTTTTTTTGTCTCTCCTAAAGAGAATAGGCTGTGTAAAGGGAGTGGAAGAAGTTGAGATGCTATTGTAGCACTCTAGGAACAAGATAGTCATGTGTAGCAGTGGGGTGCTAGCTGTGGCCAGATTCTGCATCCGTTTTTAAAGACAGAATGAATATAGGATATGAAGGAGATGGATAAAGGTTGATTCTAATATTTTTTGGTCTGAGTAATTGGAGGGCTAGAGTTCTATCAGAGATGTGGTGTATCTGGGGGGGCAGGAGTAGAGCAACTCAGAAGTTCAGTTTTTGATAGTTATATGCCTGACATCTAAGTGGTGAGGTCAAGTAAGCAAGTGAATATGAGTCTAAAGTTCAGGGGTCATGACTATGCTGGGATCAGACACTCAGGGAGTCTCCCGTGGTTGGGGCTAGAAGGTGGCACCAGTAAAGGAGACAAAGGATTAGTCAAAGATGCAGGAAGCTAAGCAAAGAGTTTCCTTCTTTCCTCTATTCTTCTTCCTTTACCCCCCGCCACTTCCATCCCAAAGCCAGAAGCACAGCTGATAGAAAGTAGAAAGAGGAGTCATGGGCAGGGCTGGGCAAAAGGAGTGCTCCTCCTATAGCATGGGAGCTATGCTGGCTCACCTGATCACCCAAAGATGTCTCCACTTGCTTTTCTTTCAAACATCTGGAAGCTATAGGTGCTTACTAGGGCAAATTAGTATATGCATTCTGACAGGTTTTCTAGTCTTGAAGAATCTGTTGCCCATGAGTGAGAGTGGTCGTACCCAATTGTTATGGGCCAAACTGAATTCCTCCACTGCATATGTTCAAGTCCTGATCCTAACACGTGTTGGGCATCCCTAAGCCCAAAACTCAAATCCAAAGTGCTGCAAAATCTGAGATTTTGGGGGTGCTGATGTGATACCACAAGTAGAAAACTCTCCACCCGACCTCAGAGGAGAGGTCAGGCAAGGTGGAGTTGCACTGAAAATACTTCGTAAAGTCACATTCAGGCTATGTGCATAAGATGTACATAAGACACAGATTTACTTGTTTAGATTTGAGTTTCATTCCCCCCAAGCTGTCAAATTACATATATGTAAATATTCCAAAACCTGAAAAAAAATTTCAAAATGCTTCTGATCCCAAGCAGTCCAGCTACAGGATGTTGCACCTCATACTTTGGAATGTGACTGCCTCTGGAGATTTGCCCTATAAAGAGGGACTTCCTTTAAAATGAAGCCCTTCGAGTGAGCCTTAATCCAGTATGATAACTGCTCTGATAAAAGGAGGAGTGAAGGAAACAGGGAGAAAGACCCCCATCTGCAAGCCCAGGAGAGGAGCCTCAGAAGACATCTCCATCTTAGATTCTAGCCTACAGAACTGCAAGAAAATAAATGTTTGTTGCTTAAACCAAAAAAAAAAAAAAAAAAAAGTCACCATCATGCAGAGATGAAATGTAGGAGGCCTGAGTTATGGTAGTTGCTGCTTTGTCAGCCAGAGATGTGCAGGCCTGAGTGCATCACTAGCCTCTCTGTGCCTGTTTTCTCACTGTAGGTGATTTAGATGATCACGTGCTCACACTACTCCATTATTCACAGAACAGATACTTACACCTGTGTCTGACAAAAAGTCTGTTTTTTCCTTTTCTTTCTTGCATATCAGATAGTGTTCTGGCCATTAGCATGAACTGAACAAAAGAAACCAAAACAGCTTTTTTGTTATTTTGGTTTTTTGAGACAAGATTTCACTATGTAGTCCAGGTTGGCCTAAAACTTGTGATTCTCCTGCTTCCTCTTCCCAAGTGCTAGGATTAAAGGTGTACAGGTGTGTTGGCTTCTTTCTTTTGTGTGTGTGTGTGTACACACTGTGGATTGAACCCTGAACTACACCCTCAACTCCCTAAGCAGCTTGCTTTATTTTTTTTTTTTTGGTACTGGGACTCAGCCCAGGACCTTGAGCTTGCCAGGCAGGTGCAGCACCACTGAGCTACATCCTCAGTCCCTAAGCAGTTTTGTGTTTGTTTTTGTTTGTTTGTTTGTTTGTTTTTGGTACTGGGGATTGAACTCGGGTAGCAGTTTATTTTTGAATAGGTGATACTTGCATATGGTAAAAAAAAATTTAAAACATGAAGCTCCTTTTTTTTTTTTTTTGCATCGGTGTCTTGCTTTGTAGTTCATGCTGACCCTGATCTCACCTTGTAGCCCAAGCTGACCTCGAACTCACAGGGATTCTCCTGCCTTAGACTCTCAAGTGCTGGGATTATAGGTGTACACCAACACACCCTAGGAAGCTACTTTTTTTTTAAAAGCTATTCATTGGATGTATTATATTTATTTTTTGTTTGTTTGTTTTGAGATAGAGCCTCTATGCAGTTCAGGCTGGCCTTGAACTCTCAGCAATCCTCTTGCCTCAGCTTCCTGAGTGCTGGGACTACAGGTATGCGCCACCATTCCTGGCAGTTATGTGTTTTATTAACCTTTTTTTATTTTATAAAAATAAAAAATAAAATTTCCTATCTTTACCTTCAAAGTAGTTAACTCAAGAGTACAAGACAAAAACCAAAACACTTCTTATAAAAAAGAAACAGAGGGCCAAGGATTTAGCTCGGTGGTTCCGCTGCCTGCCTCACAAGCGCAAGGTCCCAAGTTCGATCCCGGTATCAAAAAAAAGAAAAAAAGAAACAGATGACATGACTCTTTTCAACACAAATAAACTGGTAATATAGTACTTTTTTTCCTAATTTAGTTCCTCTTCCCAGAGACAGCTACTATCTCTAGTTACTGTGTATCTTTCCAGAAATTACCTTCATTTATAAAAATAAATGATAATTTTTAAGTTTTCAGGAAAAATAGGTTAATAGTAGGGAAAAAATTAAAAATGATGTAAGAACTCTGGACTGGTCATCATAAATTTAGGGTATCTGTTAACTACTTGTTATGAAATGGGAGAAACAATTAGTTTTTGAAGCATGAGAGTAAGCAACAGAAGAAAGCACTACAAGACGTGAAAATGTTCACGGTAGATGACCTACCATGGCTAGAATATTACTGTTTTTATTATATATTCTTTGTATATAAATATATGCAATACTTTGATAGAAATAATTGACTTAAAAAGTAAAAAGTGTGGGTAAACAATGAAATGAAAATTGCACAATACATATTATACTCCTAGATATAACTGTTACTGGGTAGCTCTTTCTAAAAGTGGATTGCCAAATAATCATTCCTGGGTTTTATGGTGCTTGTATCTCCTTCTGGAGTTAGAGTCCAGGTTCTTACCTCAAAACAAAGAATTGAACAAAATGAGCAAAAAGCAGTGACAAAGTTTATTTTAAAAAGTAGAGTGGCTGA